AGAGTTTTAGCCGGCAACGGTGAATGGCACGGCGGATTGTGTTCACCAACAATGTTTTCTGGAAGTATTCCTGAGCCCATGTTGTGATTTCCATTACAGTAGCATTCCTGTATGTGATGCAGTGCCGTCTAAGGGCCCGAAGATCACGGGCATCCAGTATGGTTTTCTGGCCTTGACCCTTACGCACAGAGATTGTTCCAGATTCTCTGAATCTTTGGATGATATTATGCACTGTAGATGATGATAACTTCACTTTGCAATTCTTCTCTGAGAAACTCCTTTCTGATATTGCTGCCCTATCTTTCGCCGCAGCATTGGTGGAATTGGTGATCCTCTGCCCATCTTGAAGTCTGAGAGACACTGCCACTCTGAGAGGCTCTTTTTATACCCAATCATGTTGCCAATTGACCTGATAAGATGCAAATTCGTCCTCCAGCTGTTTCTTATATGTACATTTAACTTTTCCGGCCTCTTATTGCTACCTGTCCCAACATTTTTGGAATGTGTAGCTCCCATGAAATTCAAGATGAGCCAATATTTGGCATGACATTTCAAAATATCTCATGTTCAACATTTGACATGTTATCTATATTCTATTCTGAATAAAATACTGGAATTTCAACCTTCCACATCATTGCATTCTCTTTTTATTCACATTTTATACAGTGTCCCAACTTTTTTGGAATCAGGTTTGTATTTTTTACTGTCATAGCTCAAGCCTACTGCCCGTAACCGGCCTCCACCCCACTGTGATCCAGCCTTGGATACTACTTCCACTTTTCTAGAAAACTAAAACCATCTTAATACCTAATAAAGATACAAGAAACTCACATCTGATTGAAATATCAAAATTCCATCATTGCTTTTAACAGAACAATCAGAATTACACACTGATTTTACACAAAACTATCAATGCCTTAAAATCAAAACATAAATCTTTACATTTTAAATACATTACTTGACTAAACATTCATTATCATTGATTAGACATTGATCAAACATTAATTATCAGTCAAATCTTTACTTTTGTGGATGGAACATTCATTTTCATTACTTCCTCAGTATGTTGTGTGTCTCTTCTCTGTGTGCCATGCACACACGAACTTTTGCAGTTCCTTCTTTCGGGGATGTGTGTCTACTTCCTCATTTCTGTAATTCTTGTATTTTCACTCTGTTAGATGTAAAATCACTTCCCCCCCATTCTTTTAATACGATCATTTCACATTTTATTCTTATACATTCTCTAATGATTATTTCAAACAAAACACACACATAAATCTTATGATTATCCTTGAAAGCTTAACTTTCTAAGCATTCTGCCATAGCATTTTAATAATAATTTCTCTCTCTCCTCCAGCCACTTCTGCCGTTTTCTCTGCCTCCTCTGTTTCTTGGTTATCTCCGGGACCTGTATTTACAGCTTCGGTTACAATAGGCACAGCAGACTTATATGGTCAAATGTCACTGAAAGTGGTGAGCAGACTCAGACAGCATCACAGAGGACAGTGTCATGGTTGACAATAGCTAATAATGAAGTGCTAGATGTACTACTTTTCATGGCTGTGCACTGACAGCCTTAGCTGATTACACCGCTTTATTCTCAGTGTCTGTTGGCCCTGACAAGATTGCAAAGAGACCTGTTATTGACTAATAAACATTACAGAATGCCAGCTCTGCCCAGACCAGGCCACACAAACACATCTTTGTGCCCAGGCCTGAATTGATAACAGTGGTAGTTTGGCTCCTGACAAGGCTGATGTTCAGCTATCTGAATGGCCCCCTTCTTTCTCTGAGTCTCCTCTAGCAGCTGCTGTGACACTCTCTAATGTGCCTAATACCCCTGGCATTTGCAAATGGTTAGAAGGACCTTTTAGATTGTGTTTCATTATGTTTATTCAGTAGTAGAAAATATTTGATGGGTGGGTGAGGGGAGGGTATGAAAGGCAATCTAAAGGTTACAGTTCTAATCAAAAAGTTTACTACTGTATATGAGCTGCAGTTCACACTCTTGAGGGTGATATTTTTAGAGCTCTAAAAGAGGCAAGAAACCTTATACAGTAAAAGAATTATTACATTATGCTAGACTTTACATTTTAGTATCAACTGACAGACGTTGCATCACCAGGCAAGCATATTCCCTCTCAATTAGTGCTGTGGTAAACACTGTCTTTGGGTGATAATTTAAAAACAGAAGAAACAGGTCTGGCATGATATTTTTAATGGCTGTGATAATGGCTGTACGTGGAAAAATAAGTTCCTTCATTCAAGTGAACAAGTATAGCGGTGCAGGTGAAACAAAGGGAAGCAGCAAATCTCCTGCTGCATCAAATGAGGAGTCAGATTATGATTAGAAGTCAAATGAGTTTTCACAGGGGCAGAATGAGCTTTATTACGTGCATTAATAGAACTTAGTGGTGGCGTATGGAGGACCAAAACTGCCATAATCAAATATAAATAACAAAGAAAATAAATGTACCCATTTTTTAATTATAAATATACATATATATAAAACTTTAGAAAAAAAAATATAGAAATGCTTATATTTACAGTAATACACTCATTAATGTTCACATTTATTTATTTGTATATTTACTTAAAGATTTATGCATTTAGCTTTTCCTTTTCTCAAACGGTTTTTCTTTTTCACTGAGTGTAGGCAAATGAGGGGGCGTGTCTTAATTGTGTCACTGCACAGTCATTAGTCAATCTGTGAAGAGTTTCCTGATCGATTCTTCTTGTCTAGCCCCTGGGTAAGCACTGGCACTGTTTCAATCCCATGACAGCAATAAAAGTTCAGAAAAGTCTGTGTGGTCATTCAAGTGTTTTGTTCATTCATACCAAATAATGATTATATCGTCATTACAATAAAATATGCAGATGCTCTCCCCCATACTGTAAAACACATTCCAGATTAACCCAAACAATCAATGCAAATTATATTAAGGGTTAAATGTTGGTTAAGAGTTAATTTCAAGCTTTGAGCTTTATTTAAATACTGTACTAAAAGTCCCTAACAGGATTAGAGATCCTTCCTACTTTGCAAATGATCATGGTGTTTGAATTCAGAAACATTGTATCTTTTTTGTGTGTGAAGTGTTTAAGGAAAACCTTTAAAGATAATGGTTTGTCATTTGGGGACTTGTATGGTTGATTTGGAATGATTATTCACAGAAGCAGACATACATAAAATGTATGCCATAAACTGCATTATACCTTATTGGGTGGTATGAAATCAAAATAATCCCAAACTTTAGAACGTCGCTTATTGGTGGTACTCGCCATGAACCTTGCCAAAATACTCTCACTCTCCAAATCTCTATCTCCTCACAACCCCATTCAATAAGGGATCCTGCTGCTGCAGTCTCTGTAGAATTTTTAAAAATACATTGAGAATAGGTGTAAATAAAATGATGTTGACAAAAAAAAGAAAAAGTACTACAACGTTTTTATAATCCCTCACAAAGTAGTGTACAAACCCTGAGCTAGCTGTACAGACTCTTGTAAGTTGAAGGCACTTGTCCCGCTGTCAGAACTAATTTGTCTTGCACCTTCAACTCTCCTCTCACTTTGTGATTCACTGTAAAACGTTTAGATGGTAATTATAAGGACGAGCCAATATTCTTCTAGTTACAAAAATATTCTAATAAATATTAAATAAGGGATGAAAAAAACCCAAGCATTTTTAAATAATAAAAGCAGTACCTTGAACAACTTTCACTGTGGCGTTTTAACTCAGAGAAGGCAAATCCGTGCCCACAGTGAATGCAAGGCATCACAGGTCCTAATTCGGTTCCTTGTGCATTTGGTTCCTGGATGTGATGAATAAAAAACATTTATAGAATATAAATACTGGTCAATTATTATCTCCAAAAATAATTACAAATTCACACAAAAGTAAAATCTACCATAATATTGTCCACGCTCAAATTCCTCTGCAGGGGCTGAATGTAAAGAATGGTTCTGGTTATCACAGGGGCCAAATCCCTCAAATGCCTCACTGTATAACCAGCATTGGGGCATGACAGAAGCATAAGTTGACGGCTCCTTGTATTCCCAGTGACCCGCATGAGCTCAAACCCACCGGCATCCCTCAATTTGGGGAATGCAGCCAGGAGAAACTCAGAAAATTCCTCTGGGCTTTCTTGGTTTCCTGTTAAACAAGTAAAAAAATATACAAGCCATACATTACAAGGGAATGAACATAGGCTTCAATATCATCACTAAATTCAAGTAACAGAAGTTCTTACCACGAAAAGTGAGATGCTTTTCACCCAAACCTAAACGATGTAAGCGCTCTTTTTCAAATGAGACAGCAGAAGGTGTGTGTGTATGATATTAATGCGATGGTATTCTTTGTGTGGTTTCTTCTGGGTGTCCCTGTCATGCGGTTATATGATGCAAACATCCTGGAAACTTCAGCTAAACAAACAGTATGACACATTAAAATACATTTAAATCAAATCATTTTATATAACTGATTATACTAAAAATAACTTATACTTACCATCCACTGGATGGACCAGCTGCTCCGGTGCTGGAGAAGCTGATGAAGTTGCTATTGAACAATAATGTCTGATTAGTCTAAAATAGCTCAGCGATGTAACAAATTTATCAAATGCAAGATCAAGCATACAACATATTAGCAAGGTTAAATCTTTTTTGTGAGAACTCTATATTAAACATACTTTGTGATGGCTTCTTCATTCTGACATCTAGATTAGGTTTAAACCTGATTTGCCTCCCTCATAACTTGAGTTCATGTAGTGACAGTCGACATGTTGCTAGTAATCTGTGCTTACATTAGCCGTTATTGACAAGTTTTGCATGAGTTGAAAGAAACACATAGAATAGAGTTGCATTGTTGAAATCAATGCATATGGTCTTTTTTTTTTTTTTTATCAGAACAGCATAGCACTAGCGAGCACTAGTTATTAATTATAGGTTAGTTAGCATTACAACAATGCAGAACTTATCTA